ATATATTATATATTATATATTATATATATTATATATTATATATATTATATATATGTGTCTTGGGGTGTACGTACACCTCAGATGGGTATATCGACACCGCGTGGGGTTTTGCTGCACGGTGCATCGGGCGTAGGGAAGAGTTTGCTCGCGAAGGCCGTCGCCACTGAATGCGGAGCTAACTTTCTTGTTGTTAACGGCCCTGAGATCATGGTACAGTTAGTTAATTATATGTTTATTTATATTTATTTTTTATATATATGTTTATATATTTACCTATATATATATATTTATATATGTTTATATATTTGTATATATATATATATATACTTTTTCATCTGCTGTTGGTTCATCTCTCCGTCTCCTTTATTTTATCATTGTCTCCTTTATTTCACTGTCTGTCTCCTTTATTTCACTGTTTCCTTTATTTAACTGTCTCCTTTATTTAACTGTCTCCTTTATTTTACTGTCTCCTTTTCTCTGTCTGTCTCCTTTTCTCTGTCTGTCTCCTTTCTACTGTCTGTCTCCTTCATTTAATTTTCACCTTTTCTCTGTCTGTCTCCTTTATTTCAATGTCTGTCTCCTTTGTCTCGCCTCTCTCCTCTTCAGCACCGCCACTACCACCAGCAGCAACATTAGCAGCAGCAACAGCATTAGCAGCAGCAGCAGCAGCAACAACAGCAGCATTAGCAGCAACGGCAGCATTAGGAGCAACAGCAGCATTAGTAGCAACAGCAGCATTAGCAGCAGCATTAGCAGCAGCATTAGCAGCAGCATTAGCACTATTATAATACTTATTGTTATTATTAATTATTATTATCATTATTAATTTATTATTATTATTAATTATTATTATTATTATCACTTATTATTGTTGTTGTTATTATTAATTATTATTGTTGTTATTTATTATTATTATTTATTATTATTATTATTGTTGTTATTATTATTATTATTATTATTATTATTATTATTATTATTATTATTATTATTATTATTATTATTATTTATTATTTTCAGTCTCGAATGGCTGGGGAGACGGAGGCAAATTTACGCCGAGTGTTTGAAGAGGCGTCTTCGCTGTCTCCCTGTCTCCTTTTCATCGACGAAATAGACTCAATTGCTGCTAAAAGAGATAAAACCCAAGGAGACATTGAGAAGAGACTCGTGGCACAGGCAAGAACTACTGCTGCTGCTGATGCTGCTGCTGATGCTGCTGATGCTGATGCCTGTCTCCTCTGCATGCTGCTGCTCCTGCTGATGCCTGTCTCATTTTCCTGCTGCTGCTGCTGATGCCTATCTCCTGTACATTCTGCTGTTGCTGCTGATGCCTGTCTCCTTTTCGTTCTGCTGCTGTTGCCTGTCTCCTTGCTGCTGCTTTTTGTCTGCTTTTACATTTGCATGACTAATACGCCTCTTGAGATTCTTTGCTGTTCTTCTTGTTGCTGCTACTGTTTCTGCTGCACCTGCTGCTGCTGTTGTTGTTGCTGCTGTTGATGCTTCTGCTGTTGCTGCCGCTGCTGATGCTCTTGTTGTTGCTGCTGCTCTTGATGCTGTTGCTGCTGCTGCTGCTGCTGCTGCAGCTGCTGACATTGATGGATGGCATCGGAGCGAATAAAAATATTGTTGTCTTAGCTGCAACAAATCGCCCAAATCACCTCGACCCTGCGTTGAGAAGGTCTGCTGCTGCTGCTGCTGCTGCTACTGCTTCTGTGCTGCTGCTACTTCAGCTGTTGCCGCTTCAGCTGCTTCTTCTGTGCTGCTGCTTCAACTGTTTCTGCTGCTGTTGCTGCATTTGTGCTGCTGCTGGTCTCTATGGTGGATCTGCTGATCTTGCTGCTGTTCTTGACGTTGCTGCTGCGGTTCTCACTGCTGCTGCAGCTGCTGCTGCTGCAGCTGCTGCTGCTTCAGCTGCTGCTGCTGCAGCTGCTGCTGCTGCAGCTGCTGCTGCTGCAGCTGCTGCAGCTGCTGCTGCTTCAGCTGCTGCTGCTGCAGCTGCTGCTGCTGCTGTATTTGATTGAGTGCTGCAGGTTTGGCCGTTTTGATCGGGAGATCGAAGTGCCGGTGCCTGATGCTGCAGGGCGTCTAGAGATATTAAAGAAGAAGACAAGAAGCATGAGGCTAGGAGAAGATGTGCAGCTGCAGCAGATTGCTGCTGATGCCCATGGCTTCGTGGGGAGTGATATCGAGCAGCTCTGCTTAGAAGCTGCGCTGCTGTGTCTGCGGCAGCAGGTGCAGCATATCGATTTTGATAAGGAAGCTGTAGATCCTGAGGTCTGTTACTAAACCCTAAACCCTAAACCCTGAAACAAGTCTATTACAAACACACACACACACACAACGCATGCTCGTGCTCCTGCTGTTGTTGTAGTTGCTGCTGCTGATGCTGCTTGTTATGTTCTCGAGTTTGCTGCTGTTTCTGATTCTGCTGCTGCTGCTGCAGCTGCCTCTATTGATGCTGTAGTTGCCTCCTATGCCTCTGGTGCTGTTGCTGCCTCTGCTT